AGGTGGGGGGTGGCTGGGAGAACACGGGGCTTGGCATCACCTCCTCGCTCCGCTGGGCACCCACCTCCCCTTCTGGCCTCTTGGCCAGGGCAGCGCTGCCCAGAGCCTTCTTCTCCGCCTCCTTCTGCCGCTGCTCTGCCAGGAAACGTTCCTCAGCGTCCAGGAGGTACCTCTGGATCATCTCCTCCTGGAACTGGTGCCGGCTGCTGGTCTTGAGGTGGCTGGCGAAGATGAACTTGCGCTCGCCCTGCATGGCCGCGCGCAGGATGCTCAGGCTCAGCCGCACGTCACTGCTGTACTTGTAGGGATCTGACGGCTTCTCCAGGGCTGCTTTACCTGGACACGTTTTCTCTGCAGGAGCTAAGTCTCCTGGGGAACATTCCTCTTTGCTGTCTTTCCGTGTCTTCAGAGATCCTTTCTTCTTCTTCTCCAGGGTGTCTCCCTGCCCATTGCTCATGCTGCCCTTCACAGCTTTGCTGTGCATCAGGCCCCCCATGTTCTTTTTTAGTTTGCTGCCCAGAGTCTTCCCAAAGCTTCCCAGCTTGTTGGCTACCGAGTCTGCCCGTTTTTTATCCTTCTCCTTCTCCCGCTCTTTCTTTGGTTTCTCCCTGTCCTTGCCTGCCCTGGTGCCCCCGTTGCTGGCAGAGCTGCTGCACACTGACTCCTTGTCCGACTCGCCTGACTCTGCTGCCGAGCGAGGGTCATCACCTGCGGAGGCCGTGGGGGATTCTGGCTGAGCCAGAGGCGCCTGGGGAGGAAGGAAAGACAAATATCAAAGTCTAGAAACTCCTTGGGTAAAGATTTTCAGGTGGAACATGAAGCAAAGGAGGTGGTGCTGCCTGGAACATGGAGGGGACAGCATCCGGACACAGTCACTGTGTCCCTGGTGCATCCTGCACATCCTCAAATATCCCTGTGGCACCCCTTCCACCTGAGCTACTCCAGGATCTTATGATTCTATTCTGTAATTCTATGATGCCTCCACTTGCTCGAGGTTCCAGATGCAAAGCCAGGGAAGAGGAGGGGTGAGACTTGTCCCAGTCTCAAGGTCGCCGTGAACCAAGACCTCCCATCTGTTTGGAACATGGGGCATCCCTGAGGGGCATAGGGGCTTCTGGGACATGTGAAGACTGAAATGAGGCACGGAAAATTCTAGGGAAAAGGCGCCCAGCTGCAAAACTGAGTCACTTCCCTGCTCTCTGAGCAGAATCAGCCACAATTCCTGTGGGCACAGAACCCCACAGGAGGCAGAGCCCCCAGGTAAGGCCCTACACTCTTCGCTGTAGAGAGGAGGGTTGAATAATTAATAGGTAAAGAAGATCCCCCTGGTCCCCTTACCTGCATGTCACAAGGCAACGTGATCCATCGGACATTCATGTAGCTGTGCAGCAGGTGCAGTTTGGCTTCCAGCGACAGCGTCACGCTGGCATTGGAGCAGAGTAAATCCACAAGTTAGAGCCATTTTCCATTTCCCACCTGGAAGTATCTCCCCCCATATTTACATTATTCCTTGTGTTATGTATCTAAATGGGTGTTTTCCTACAGCAGGTCCAACGACACAGAAGGGACAATTATGCAGCATTCCTTTCAATGAAAACCCAGAGGGAGAAATCAGATTTCTCAGCATTGGAAACAAAATGCTTCTGCCTCAGAGACAGGAATTGCTGGGACCAAACCATGGTGAGACCTGCCCAAAGTCTCAACCAAAGCAGGCATGGTTTGCTGGCCACCCCCTCCCCACTCTAGGGACCCACAACACAGGGATTTGGTGGAGAATGGAAAAATGCACCATTGTTGTGCTACTGTGACAGAAGATCCTCCTCTGCTGGCAGTGTTTTGAGCTATGCCCAGCCCAGAACTTCACGATATGTGGGAATAAAGCTTGTGAGATATCACTGGCCCACCCAAATCATATCAAAATGAAGGAAAATGAAGGAAAAGTTGCTCCATCCCATGAAGAGTGTCATTCCCTGGGCACAACTTTCATCCACCACAAGAAATCCCAGCCGGGGTCGGGACTGACCCCATCATCCTCTCTGCTCTGCAGATCACCCAGACCCTCAGTGGAGCCTCACCCTGGATCACCTGCAGATCACCAACCTGGCCAGCTTGACATTGTCACTGTCGTCCTTCCCCCACTGCCACTCCTTCCCGGGATCCACGGCGAAGTGCACGGGGAGCAGCTTGTGCTCAGAGTCTGTCAGGGGGATCACAGCTGCCCCGGGACAGAAATGTCACGTTTACAGCCCAAAAGGACAAATACTCCACACTTGGAGCCAACTCTGAGCACCCACCAGGAGCATCGTCACCTCTGATGGGAATGGCCTCATGGCAAATCCCAGTGACTGCCAGCACCTGGGACCATGGAATCTCCAGAGCACCATGGAATGCCTCATGACTCTCAAAGGAAGAGCTTCACAATATCCCATCTAACTCTGCCCTGTGTCAGTGGGAAGCCATTCCCCTTGTCTCGCCACTCCAGGCCCCTGTCCCAAGTGTCTCCCAGCTCCTGAAGCCCCTTTGGGCACTGGAAGGGCTCCAAGGTCAGGACACTGTTGGTTTTCTGGGCTGACAGTACATGTTGATGGGTCCTGGTCAGCTTTTCCCCCCCAGCACCCCCAAGTACTCCTCCTCAGTGCTTTGTTCACCTGAATCTCATCACCCACCTTGATCCTTTGTGTTTTCCTTCTGCTCCATGGAGACCAGGGCAGAAAAATGGGCTTGGTCATAAGCCAGAACCAATGGAGACCGGTGGCATTTGTTGGCTGGGACTTCCAGGGGCAGATAGATCCCCCCAAAGGGAATTGGGGCGAATGCTGGGAAGAAACAAGAGCGGTTAGTTCTGGTCACAGGTTCAAGAGTTCAGAGTTGTTTGTGCTGCAACTGTCAGAATGAGCCATTTGCCTCAGTTGAGGGCTCACCTGCAATTATCTGTCCTCAAAGGGGACATTAAACAAAACCACAACCCAAAATAGATGTTTATTTTACATCAGTAGGATTTAAAATGTAGAATAAACTGGCATTTTCTATGAAAAGCCCTCCACTCCCCACAAGACAAACTTTGCCCACAGAATGATGGAAATTGATTAACCTTTTCTGACAGGAAACTGAAGCTGATGGTGGAAAATCCACCACCCAGGGAACGGAATTTCCCATATCTAGATGTGTGTGTAGGGGCAAAAGCGGTAGAAGAAAGAAAAAGCCTTGTGTGGATGCTCTTAAAGGAGCAGAAATTGGGTTGGGAGCCAAGCCTGGCCCTGACCCCTCTGTGGGTTCACCGGTAGCAGGTCAATTTTCCCCCCTGTGCCATTCCCAATTCCAGGTCCAGCCTTCAGGGCAAAGAGGCCCCAGAAAACACAGGGTGGAAAGGAAAGGGGGACAGATCAGAGAGGCTTTGGAAGTGAGGCAGGTCTCACCTTCGCCGCCCGAGTCCCGCAGCATCGTGTCTGCCACCACCACGATGGGTCTCTTTAGCACATGGGCCAGGACAAAGACGTGGAACTCCTCCAGGCTCTCGTACACAGGCTCCTCTGAGCTCTCCACCCTTGGGAAAAGGGGAAGTTGAATGCCATCCCTTGGATATTCAATCATTTGCTTTGCCACACCAGGAGGAGATTTCCCAGTCAGCCACGCAGAGGTGGGTGGGCAGCACTAAGGCTGATCTCAGCACTAATCTAAAGGTTTAGGGTGTGGATTCCCAAAACGTCCTGCTCCAAGACAAGGGCTTGCGCCCAAGGAACACCCAGCTGCTGCCTGGCATTGCTGAGAGTCCCTTACCTAAGGAGCTGGACAGCAGTGGCAGGGAGGTGTCTTGGAAACAGAAGTGAGATGGCAAGAACTCTGGGTTATTCTCTCATTTCAAAGCAAGCAACATAAGGAAACATAAGGAAAAGATTCATTCCCTACTCAGTCCATGTGCTACCCCACAGAAGAGGCTGTGCAGCACCAAAATCCTTTCCTGGGATGCTCTATGTGCCTTGTGTTTCCTTGGGATCCTTTGTCCTTCCCCTGACACCCCAATGAGACAGAGCACCACAGACCCACTGTCCTGCCCTGGAGCAGCATGAGAGCTGTGCCCTGAGGGAATACATTCCCTGTTTTACACCTGGATGTGCTCTCTGCTCCGTACCCGCTGCAGCCGCCGCCGTTGGTGCCGTAGTGCACGCGGGGCTCACTGGATGCCAATTTGATCAGCTCATTCCACTCCTTCTGCCACTCCTCCTCCGTGTAAACCAGGCCAGACTGAAAAACAGCAAAGAGAACCCAAAATCCTCCAAGTGGAACTCTTCCAGTTGCTCCAGCGCAGGTTTATACCCACAGCACAACTTTCCTCTATGGGTTTATACAAAAACAATCAACATACTGTGCACCACGTCCTCAAAAGTGCTTCCCAATACTCATCCAAACTTCCCCTCTCAATTTAAATCCATTCCCCTTGTCCTGTCACTTGTCCCAAGACCTTTTCATTCTGCTACAGCTCTGACTGCAGGACAACCTTTACCACAGCACAGTCCAGTGGCACAGCAGGGAGCTGCCCAAAATTCCAGACCCGACAGGAAGCACCTCCCAACCCACAGGATGTTCCCCTTGGCAAAGAGGGCCCAAAGCAGCATTCAGCTGGCTCCCACCTCCTTGTTCTGCTGCGTCTGCTGCCAGCGCCATCTCCGCCTCAGCGCTTCCCGCTCCACTCCCTTGTCCATCAGGGTGTAGAGGGACTTCCGGAGCATGAGATCCCGGTCATGGAAGCCCCACATACCTGCAGGGAGATGGACTGAAAGGTCAGGAAGGGCTAGTGTCACTCCCTGACCCACTGAGCTCCCTGCACAGATGCACCAGAGAAGGGAAGGGGCTGCTCCATTGTCCCACATTTCCTTCAGCAATCCAGGAAAACTTGCCAGACAGAGAGGGAGAAAGATTTGAGAAGCATACAAGCTGCTGGCAGCCCCTTCCCTTCAAACCATCCCACTCCCAGAGCCCGAGCACTGCGACTGCTCTTGCCCACCAATGCTGCTGCAGCCAGAGGAGCAGCGGCATCCTGGTTTCCCACCAGAACGGGTGGGTCCTGCTCCCAAAGGGGGATCTGGGCTCTTGTCCAGGGACTGGTTGGCTGTTTCCCTGGGGATTAAGCCAAGCCTTACCCAGGGAGGCAGCATGGAGCAAGCAATTCCCATCGCCAGTGGTGGCCAGGGGCAGCAGCCGCTGGCAGCTCGGATCCACCGTCACCCACCAGTTGAGACGCCCTGGGGAAATTTGGGAGAGCATGAAACCATGGCATAACACGGACTAGGGAACCCTGGGGGGCACTGAGGGGCTCAGCCCTTCTGAAACCACAGCCAAAAACCAGCTGAACCAGTGGGGGAGTGTCTGGACAGGTGGGAAGGTACAGACCCATCCCAGGACTAGGGGGGAAGAGTCAGGACAGTGACAAAGCAACAAGAGGACAAGGAAGCCAGGACTTCCACCCAGACCAGTTTTCCTCCATCTGTTTTTCCCGCACCCCCTTATTTCCCTCCCCATAGCCCATCAGGCTGAAAATGTATCCAGGAGCACAAACAACTTCTCCAAGGAAAACCAGCCTTTTTCTGCTTCTTGGAACCAAGTCCCTCCAGTTTCAACTCTCACATGGCCAAGTTTCCCTGCTCATTGTTTTTTAGGCAGAATACTCCAGGATTTCTGCTGATCCCAGCAGCTTTCCTGCTGCAAATACAAACCGACAGCACTTTAGACCGGGAATTTTGGGTCATTGTGGTGATTCAAGTCAAGAGCAGCTAAAAATAGAAGGCAGGGAAAAATGCCCAGTGAGCCCAGTGTGGCTGTAGATTCAGCCCTTCCCAAGGGAGCGAAGCCGGGCTGGATCAGGACTCTGAAGCCCCCGTCCGCATCTTGCCCTGCCCTCAACATCCCTCCTTGGCTGCCATATTTTCCAGGACTTTGGATCCTGTGTAGCAGGCACTTTTTTGGCTGGATGAGGCTGTTTAGGTTTCCAAGTTGTATTTAAATTTCTCCTGCAGGAAACCAGCCCTTTTTTCCCATCGTTTCCAAAGAGCCTCTCCTTCCTCTGGAGCAGGGATCCCAGTACAGACAGAGGATTGCTGGGAATGCTTTGTACAACCTCAGGCAGGGCAGCTGGAGAGGAACTGAATGCAGAAAACAGGGCTTAAAACATCCCCAAACACTAGAAAACAAAACCCACGAGGTTCAGCATGACACAGGCAGGTTGTTCCTGTCCCCAGCACCAGGAAAGGGACCCGCCAGAGCCGGGAGCGTTCCGCACTGAGCCTGGGACAATGGCTCTGCAAGGAGAAGCTGGCTGTTCCCTCAATATTCCCAACAATATACTCCTGGCACGGAGGAGTTGGGAGCCTGGCCAAGTGGCCCAGGGCCACGGGAGCAAACGCAGCGCCTCACAGGAGCTGTCCCACACGTAACTCTGCTAGGACAGCACTGAGAGCTCCTTCTTATCCATTTTTCCTCATTCCTGCAGGATTTGATGCTCTTCTACACGGAGTTTGCATGTCTGGTTGGTGCTTCAGAGGCTGCGCAACCTCTGCCCAAGTCAGATCTGAGGGGACACACCTTGGAGAGGTATTTCTGTGCCCAGTGTTTGCACTGACTCCAGTTACGCAAGAGAAGTCGTCTCCAAAGGAACTGCACGCCCAGCCCTCCTCCCAATGTTTTGCTCCCATCGAGGCGGCGGAAAGGCCGAGAGGCTGCCCAGAAGTATCGAAAACAACACATTTCTCTGTGTGTGGCTCGTAAGAGCCAGCCTTGAGAGCTCTGCAGGGAAATCAGCTGGATTTAGGAGCCTGAGGGATCTTCCCAGAACGGCCACGGTGGCAACAGATCTGCACACAGGAAAAGTCCATTGGCATCCAGAAGCTCCCTCTGCATCCAGCACCGTGACCCTACGTTACCCCACAGAACACCTGTTTGTCCCCACAGGGTGTTTGGGGAAATCCCATCGTATCGTCCAGCAGGAGCCACCTGAACAGGTCAGGGCAATGGGAAGGAGCTGATGGCTCTGCCCAGCCTGAAGGGAGGATTGCCTCATCCAAACCACAAATGGCTTCCCCAGGGCTAGCGGGAATCCACTCTCGCTGGTGACACAGGGAGCGTCCTAGGGATCCAACACAGACACCGTTCATCGCCCTCTGTGGTGACCAGAGACCAGCGGGGGTTTCTCCCTGGTACAGGTGAAGGACCAGGATCAGGATCTTTCAGTTCTTCATGATTTTTTTCCCCTAATATCCTCAGGTAAGGCACCATGGACTTCTCCTCCCCGTGTGCCATAAGCAAACCCACTCTGCAGCTTCCCAACTCAGAGCAAGCAAGGCCTGATTCCCGATCCACAAGGGTTTGTGTCAAAGGATGTCAAGGCTCCACTGAGGGCCAAGATTCCACCTGCACCACCTTTCCATACCACCCCAAGCACATTCAAAGCATTCCCAGAGGATCTCATTGAAGTTTACAGCCACTTTTAAAGCACTTACTCTGCCACAATGGTGTAACAAGACCTCTGAATACATGGGGAAGAGGATCTGAACATTTATTGGGCTATAAAATATTTCCTTAATCCCCTAAGGACGGTGTGTCTAAATTAGTAACTGGAGTCTCTGTATATCACAGCACCAAACTCAAAACCCTACTTGGAATCCAGCTTGGAATATTTCATAGCTGCACTACAGCCCTTTGTTACAGACAAAACATTCATTTATAACAACCCACAGACATTCAAGTCTCCAAAAGGCATTTTCTAAAACTGAATTTCTAGATTTTTTCTCATTAATGGCATCTCAGCACACCTGAAGTGCCCCCAGCCCACGGATGAAGCACCCAGCAACCCCCAGCCCCGCACCCCGTTTGTGCTGGGACACAGGAACCCAACCCCTGGCTCTGCTGGGATGAGATCTGGGGTTTATCTGCACCAGAGCCAGCAGCTGCTGTCACCGCAGGGTGTGACAGTGTAATGGGATCGCTGGGATCAAGTGCTCATTCCCAAAACATGAGAATACTTCTTACAGCAACTCCTGAGCAGGAGAGGGAGAAGCTGGGCCCCCAGAGCGTCTGTTATCCCTAAGGATAACGTGTTTTCTGGTATGTGCAGCACCACGGGAACAGCGGGGGCTGTAAACCCTCCTGAGATCCCTCACAGCATCCTGCCCCTGCCCACGGGAACCATCCTGGTTCCAGGGATGAGGTTTTTCCCTGCCAGCACGAATGTCCCTCATTCCCTCATTTACAGACCCCTGGCAGCTCTTCAGGAACCTGATGGAAAGCAAAGCAGGGGGTTCCTCCCCAGGCACCCAGCAGGCACTGGAGCAGCAGCATCAACCTCCAGGGTCTGTAATCAATGCAGAATCTGTCAGCAGGACGTGTTACACAGGAATTCCCTTTTCCCAGTCTCTCCGTGGGATGGGCAGGATGGAGCACTGGGATGCTCCAAGGGTGAGACAATGCCAGTTTTGGGGTGTTTTCCCTCTCAACTGTGCACAGTTATAACATGTTATAACTGTTGTAACAGCCCTGGGTTATTTACACTCAGGTTCCATGGGTGAAGGGAAGTGGCTCCTACTCAGCCCTTGCACCAGGTCATAAAAATGCTGGAATGTTCCCTGTTGGATATGCATTCATGTGATATCCCGGGGTGCTCCCATGGGTGACACTGCCCAGCTGCCCACGGCATGGATCCAGCACTCACCAGCCTGCTCCAGTGCTACCAGCATGGACTGCTCAATAAGATCCCGTTCGATGAAGCTGCGGAAATCCTCGGAGTACACGGTGAGGTCGGGCAGCTGGAAGGTGCAGATGGGCATCTCCAGCAGGTGTTCGCTGCTGCTGCCGTTGCTGGACACGTGGGAACGGGCCAGGGACACGATGGTGGAGCTGGCATGGGAGATGCCTCGGGACAGGCGCTTCTCTAGGGGAAAGAAGGAAGAGCAAACAGCAAAGTGGGGCAGGAGCAGCAAATCCTGGCCAGCACCAAAGCTCCGCGGTTCTGGCAGCAAGCGGATCGCTCTGGCACGGGGATTTGGGAGATGCCTCTGTCTCCAGGACCCTGACCTTGCACGATGTCATCCTGGCGCTGCAGCGGGGGCCTCCCCGGCCGCGCCACCTCCCGCTCCGGGGGCCGGGCCCCGCGGCCCTCGTTGAAGGAGTGCGGGAGGTTCCCAGCGTGCACCTGCCGGAGCTGCTCGAAGTCGCTCAGCGCCGCACTCAGGTCCCAGTTCTTGCCTGGATGGGAAGGGAGCAGCGCTGGTCCCCCTCACCCGGCACGGAAACCGAGGCACTTCCTAAACATCCGTGTCGGAAACTATTCTGACCCCAGCTCCCTCACCCTCTTCCAACCCTTCTTCCTCCTGGCTCACCATCAGCCCCGGGCACTTCCCTCATTATTCCCAGTTTTCCATACCTTCAAGGAGGTCTCTGGCCAGCCCCGGCTCTGCCCCTGTTGAGCGGACAAAATCCGACAGGACGATGTCCATAGCCGAGGCCAGATGGAGTCAGCGGCACCGGATCGGCTCCTCGGCATCAGTCTGGGAACGACACCAAGAGCACGCCTGGACTGCACATCCCGGTCGGGAACGAGCTGAGGGGGATGTAAACCTCCCCCAAAAATTAACTGTGCTTGGGACTGCTGGTTCATTCTTTGGGAATGGCAAGAACAACACCCACTTTGCTGTAACAGGCAATGGGCATTTCCTTGGAAAATTCACAAACTAAACCCAATTCTCATCTCAAAGGTGGTGGAGCTCTTCTTTCCAAATTAGGAATAAGGATCCAGGAATAAATTATATAATAAATGAGTATTTGGGAGCAATAAGAAAGCAGGAAGTTTCTCCTGTACATTTACAGGAAGCAGATCCTTCTCCCATTCCACTCCAAGCACCCCAGCTGTGAGGCAGGGAAGGGGAAGTAAGGACAAAATGCTAGAACTAGATGTGTCCTAAGGAAAATACATTTTAAAAAGCCCCTTTCAAGCCAAAAAACAAACCAAACCAAATGAAACAATCCCAATTCCTCTTGCAGAAAAAATCAACGTCTAGCCAGAGCTCCTTTCCACTCCAGAGCCCCTTGCCAGGCTCCTTTGACTCCAGAGCTCCTTCCCAGAAGGGAACAAAACCACAGATCTATTCGTAAATCTGGATTTTGTCAGGTTCTGAGCCTGTGGAAGGCGTGTGCTCCTGCCATGCCTTCAAATCCTGATTTTCCGCATTCCTCAGGGCAGAGAGGGAAAGGAAGAGCAGCCTCATCCATAGGAGTCCAGATCAGCAAAGTGCTCCATGCAATTTGGGGCTTTGCAGTTAAAGTCTACGATAAGAATTCTGCCATCGAGGAACAGAAAAGAATGGTAAAAAAATTTATGCTGAGCTGAAAATCTGGAAGGGGAAAATCTGGGAAGGCTGGCAGAGGGAGCTGCTGGTGTACTGAGCATAAGAGCAAATTTCAGGATTGTGTTGAATATGAACAAATCTGGTTGTTTTCCTGGTACCCAGGAAATAAAGTCTCTTTTTCAGGATTATCCCTAAAGATGGGCAAAACCCCCTGGGTGCCTTGAAACGTTTTTTTTTCCAAGATTATCCTTAAAGGTGGGTGAAATTCCCTTACAGCACAACTCCCCACAAGCAACCGTTACATCCAGTCTTTAACCTCAAATTTCTTGGCTTTGCTGGAAAAACACCATTCCCACTCCCACAGTCGTGTGGCTATTAAGCTCCTCCTCCCAGAAAAACTCTGTATTCCTTCCCTGCTGGAGCAAGCCAGGAGCTGCGTTGCAAGAAGTGATGCCAAAGCCCAGTGCATTCCAGGAGCACAATTTGGCAGTGATTCCTGCTCTTACTCCACCAATTTAGGGAACATCCCTAATTAGGAGTCACACGTTTGGATCCTCTAATCCCTGGCAAGAGTTGCAGGAACAAGCAGCAGCTCCAGGATGAAACTGGCTGCAATAATGGGTAAAACTTCCTTCAGGTGGGCGTGGAATTCCAATGAAAATGAAAACTCAGCACACGCAGTGGAGGTCTGGGGAGGGAATAAGAAGCACATCCCACCCCCTCGTCCTTGGCATTCTGAACTCCCGCGTGCAAAAAAATGCCAGGGAAAACACAGATGGAAAACTCTGGGTCCAACAAGGCGGTGATGGATTGTTGGAGATTTACTGAGGGTTCGGACAGAGAAATATCCCCACCCCAGAGTTACTGATTATTTCCCTTTCCTAGTGGAAGAGAAATGCTCTCTCCTCTTCCCTCCCTCCAGAACAGGTTGGAAATATGAGCCCAGGTAGGAAATCCAAGCCCCAGGAGATTCACAACTGCAAATCCATCCCCCAGCAATGGAGCAGGTGCTGAGCATGCCCCAAAGCCTCTGGGAGCACACGGGGATGAAGCACGGTTGGGTGTAATCCAAAGTGAGTGTTCCTGGCACATTCCAACCAGAAATATGTGGAAAACATCTATTTAGGACTAAGCCCAGTTGTTCCTGTGATCCAGGCGATCCAAACAGTTCTTTGCAGGACACACCAGCAAGCTTTTCAACAAATGTTTAACAAATATCCCCTCACACTTCCACAGGGCCTGAGCACAGTAACTAACACTCCTGATGGAAGAGAGGAGTGATCAGCTGTGCTGGGGTCGCACATCGCCCGGACCAGGAGCTGCAGCTCCATGCAAACAGCATTCCACGGTCTCACGCCCATGGGAACCCAGCGAAAGCCCTATCCCAACATGCCAGCAGATCCACCCAGCACTGACACCAACCTTCAGCCTTCCAGGCAGCAGGAATCTGCTCAATTCCGCCTCAGAGAATGGGACAAAGCCAGGTTTAGCCAATCCCAGCAGCCTGCAATTCCTTCCTAACAGGAATTCAGACTTTTAACAACAAATGTCCACCCAAAATAAGGGGAAAGTCATAAAATCCCCCAGAGCCTCCTCTCTCTTTCTGCCTACTGCCTTTCCCAGGGCAACTCCAATGGTCACATGCCAGGTTTGGGAAGAGACTCACCAAGAGCAGCAGAACATCCTGGCCCTCCCTGCAGCACTCCCTGCCCTGACATCATCAGGAAACCAAGGGAGGAATTCAAGAGGACACAAGGTCCAAGAGCTCAGTGTCACTCGGCTCCATCCTGGGGGAAATAAACCTTTGGGAACACTAAAGTGAAGCAGTTCACCAGAACCAAATGTGAAGCAGCAAAACCAGATCCATTCAAAGATCCAGACTGGAATTTATGGGGCTTTAATTCCCTTATTTTGTTAAATTTCAATCGTGCTGAACATACTGCAGAAACAGGAAATAATTCTCTTTGTTAGGGCCAAATCCTGACCCAAAGTCAGCCACAACCGGTGGCTCCAGCATGTTTATAAAGAGACTTCCAGAAATATTTCAGGAGCAGCAAACTCTGATGTCTCTCTCCTAGATCTGCCACGTGATGTTTTGCTGAGGGCAGGAACCAAGCTGGGAGCCAGGACTCCACTCCCAGGGCTCTCCTCCCAGCCCAGCCCCTCCGCCACATCCCATCCCCACAGGGACACAGGGAACCCCAGGCCAGACCCTCAGCGAGCTTCAGGTGAGGCAGGAGGTGCCCAAATCCATGGGAAATTTGATCCTGCCAGATCCATGCGGATGTTTTTGCTCCCAACATTGGTGAGCTGCAGCAGAGTGGCAAACCAGCACATATCAAACTCCTAAAGCCCAAATCCTCCAAAACCCAGGGATTTGGCAGCACTCAGTGCTAAGCAGGGGGTCCCGAGGGGAAAGGCCATGCTGGGATCTGCAAGTGGGACATGGGAGCAGCTCCCACTTGGGCCCTATTGGAGTAACAATGAGAAAAATTAGCTTCTCCATGAGGTCCAAGCGAGCGTGTCCTGATGCTCCTGAAGGAGGTTTCTGCCTTCCTGCTCTCCCCAGAACAGGGGGGGCTGCCTCCATGCCATCCCACATCCCTGTCCTGGCCCAGCAGGTTACCTAATGCCGCCAGAACAGCCGCACGCCGCGCCGAGATTAACGGCTCCCGTCCTGACCTGACACCTGTGCTGTGCTCACTAAGCTCCGTCCGGAAGCGCCGGATGGGCCACAGACCATGCAGCTCCTGCCTCTTCCAGGACGGGAATCAACCCGGCTTATCATCACTAAAAACTGCTATTCCTGATAAAACTGATGGTGCAGGACACCCGTGGAGCTCACCAGCCCCCAGCCCAAAGGAGGGGAGCTATGAGTGCAGAAGGAAGCCAGTCCGAGAGGGAAGAATGGAGATGTTGGGGAACAGATGGCACAGGCAGCTGTGGCAGTGCTGGATGTGGCTCTGTGGCTGCACCTCATGTGTGGCAGGAGCAGCTCTCCAAGATTTACCATTCCGGGAACCGCAGGCTCTGGAACCTCCGGCAGAGTTTTAGCACAATCCAAAAGGACAGCACATAATCCCTCCAAATGAGCTTTCCCAGCAGGGTAAAGGGGCTCCTAAAACCACGCTGGTGCTCACGAGTCAGAGCAGGAGTGAAGCGACAGTTATGGAAATCATACCATTTTTATAAAGCTTCAGTGCTTCAATGAACAGCTTTATCCCGTTTTTTCCAGAGCTCCAGCTGCTTCCCAGTGCTCCAGACACAGCTGGGCTCCTCCCAATACTCGGGTTATCCTGAAACTTGGGCTATAGACCCCACCAGATTGACACCTCCAAGACAGATAAAAGCTGAACAAACACAGCAGTTCCATCAAATCCAGGCTCTGTCCCACCATCATTATCCCTCTTGGTTATCAATTCCTCTTGCTCCCAAAATCATAGGATTCTCTAATGAAGCACTGACAACGAACTCAGTTCTCTCAGTGTCTGTACCAAAGAAATTCCCTTTGAGCCAAGTTCTCCCTAAACCAGGCCGTGACTATTTCCAGCCTGGTTCTCTGCAAGAGCTGGGCCTGGCACATGCTGTCCTTGCCTGTATCCCAGGGGGATGCTCCAAGTGTCCCCTCTGCAATCGAGGCCACAGCAGCTTCATCACCAGTTCCGCGCATTTTCTCCCCAGAATATTTCAACCCAATGCTCCTCCCACAAGGAAAATCCATTTTCAGTCATTTGCAGGGATGAGTTCAGGATGTAACTCAGGACTGTGAGAGCTGAAGTGCCAACTGAGGGCCAGAGCATCTCCCAGCACTCCCCCACAGACAGAAGAGCCACATCCTGGCACTGAGTGGCACGGATTCACTACAAATACCAGCAGAAAATTAAATAAATTCCAACAGAAAACCAAAACAATCTATACTAAGTCACCAGGAAGAGCAGAGTCCTAAATTTTAAGCGATTTGGGCACACCGCTCCTTTTCCCATCCCCAGCCGTGCTCCATCCCAGTGGAATTTGGATGCTCCTGCCCACACCAGGGGCTGACAAGGGTCTCACACCTGAAGCACACACAGGAGATGCAGGATGTGTATCCTGACAGCTGCCCCTTCAGACACATCCAACACTGCATCCACAAGTGGCCACACCATCTCCACTTCAGAAGTTTCCTTAGCACAAAACCACCTTTAGATAGCTTAAACATCCCATTTCCCTGAAGAACGATTCAGCATGGACATGTGCCAGGTCAGGAAGATAAAACCCAGCAGTGCCAGTGATTCAGAGTGAAGAATCCCAGCTGGAAGTTTGGACTTTCCAGTTCCATGACTTCAGCAGACAACAAAGCCTTTAGGAACCCGGAGATGGCCGGCTCCTGCCCGGAGCCACCCCAAGTACCCCCTTCACAGACAGGAAAGCCGAGGGGCCCCGCTGCATTCCCGGTGCACTGAGATCCAACCCAGCTCCCGAGAGGCTCCGTCCCGCTACCATGAGCGACTGCCAAGGCCTCGGAACAGTTTCCCCGGAGCTGGGGATCGGCCGGGGCTGGGGCCAGGAGCTGCTCCTCGCTCACATCGACAGCACGGAGACCGGCGAGGCAGCGGGGAATCAGCCAGACGAGGAATTCCCTTTCCTCACGGATCGGGACTCGCAGGGTTGTTTCTGAGCTCGTGTTTCGCTGCCGACGGACCCGAGCCCGGCCCCGGCTGCCGCTCAGGGCTCTCCCCGCTCGGCCAGGGACCCCGGGAGCGACCCCAGCCTGGACCGGGCAGCCGTCCGCATATCCCGGCGCTCCCAGGAGAAAGAAAGTACCAAGAGGACAATTATTTCGCCCCAAGTCGCCGGGACCAGGAAAATGTCACTCCCCTGCCCCAGGGGCAGCGGGGTCGTCCCCTCCCC